GTTGTGTGTATTTCAAATCAATGTTTAAATCAGTTGACTTAACCAATCAATTAACGTGTTGTAGCTATTGTTACTCTTATTACTATTATATCCAAAGCAGTTGTCAATAGGTGCTAAGCTGCTTCTTGAAACTCAAAACTTAGTGATTTTTGGAAATGTCACCTAATCTGTACGTTTTTAGGACTTGTCTCCTAATTTTTTAGGCTTGATGCCTTTTGCATCAGCAATGCTGAGGAATACAAAGTGTATTTATAATACACTGAGGGGATTTCTAATCTTCCTTTGGTTCAAGCCTAGATGTAGGTTCTAAACAGGTTTTGTGCTCTCTGTTTGGGCATCGCTGTAAGTCCCACAGTGCTATTAAGTGCGATTAAGATGCAACCCATTGCTTGAAAATGGCCTTTCTTCTCACACATGGGCAGGGTTGGCTATTTATGGGACATGCTTATTTTTTTCTCCATCTAGAACCATCTGTATTGTCATGTGCTTCCAAATTGTTTTTCTTGGTGATTCTAACAGGCTTTTCAAGCTATATAAAATGCTATATTAGAGCAAAGCTTCCACGCCATTGGCATTTCTGAACACTGCTTATAAATTTATAAACTGCATATGTTCCATGCTGGTTAAGAGTGACTGGCGCTTGGAAAGCTTTCCCCAAAAGTCAGGCGTTATCCAGTTCTGGTCTACAACCCATCTGAAGTGTAAGAATTGGTTCAGAGGAGAATTGACTCGGAGGTGTTGTGAAGGTCTGGCTTTAAGGTGAGGCAGGGAGGGCGCCTCTAAACAGGGATGTCGAAACTTTTTAAAGTACAATATAAGAAGAAGCGCCGGCTTGGCTCTTGAAGACACAGCGGGTCATTCATTGCAGCCGGGAAACTGACACTTACGAGTTGCTGAAAAGCCGGTTGATCGATGTCACTCTGCAAGGCGAAGTCGCTGAGGACTTTCCAGGGCGGCTGGTAACTCTGCACCTCCACCGGGTTCGCCTGTAAGCCCCCGTCGTGTCTCTCCGGACTAGCCGCCACCATGGGTGTGCCCGTCATCCCCTGGATGTTCTGTAAACAAGGCGGCAGAGGCGGGGGGGTGAATGGCCGCGCCGGAGACCAGCCGCCAGAGGCTCATTCTCTCTCTCTCTCCCCCCCACCCCGCAAAAAAAAAAATCTCTCTTTCTCTCCCAGCGCCCACGAGTCAACAAAACTCCTTCCTGGGCTTATCGCTCCCTCTTTATTGACTTTGCTAATCTGCCTTTCGTGGAATTTTTTTGGTGTGTGATTTAAAATAAAACAACAAAAACAAAGCCAAGCCGCTCTCGGAGGAAACGACCTGGGCCAGAAGTGAATTTAAAAGGAAAGAGAGAGAGAGAGAGAGAAATAGAGAAATTTGGGATTAATTTGTTTTTTAGAGTACTTCCCCTCTCCATTAATCCTACCTCCCTCCACACACACCGCAAAGAGAAGTAATTCCACCCAGGTCTCCTTGGAAGCAAGTCCAGTGTCTGGAGAGATATTTTTCCCCCGGGGCTATTATTATCCCAGGGGTTACGTTGGCTCACCTTGAAACAGGACCGCGTGCCTGTCTAGGTAGATTAAATTGAATATACCTTAATTTCGATCAGGGGCCAAGCACCCCCTTTGACATCTCCCTACGACACCAATACTTGTAGGATCGCAGGGTTACAGTCAGTTTCTAGGGGCAGATTTACAAGGGAGTAAGCCTCAGCGTGAGTAAGAAGGTGACTTTTGCATAAACGTGCTCACAGTTGCATTGTATTTAGTGTCATGTTCCCATTCAAGACACCTCAGTAAGAACTCCTTAAAACCACAGTGGAAGGGGTCTGATAGAAAGGTTGGGCGCACAAACGACGTATTTCTAGTTGAATTACTTACAACTGTTATCTCTCTACTCGGCCCCAGCCCAGAACTGCATTGTGCTCCCTCTGTCTTCGGTCCAATATGAACAGAAATACCTGATACCTCTACTGCATTGGATTAAGGCTGTGATCCAGTCTAAATCCTTACTTTGGACATCCTTCTAAATAAACGTGCTTTCGGAAGTCTCTGCAGACACTGTCTTCTTACTCCTGGGGAAGCTGCTTAGTATAAACTAGATCAAGTTGTTTTCTGACCCAGAAATAAGGTTGCATTCTTAAGGACACTTATTACAACCCATTGGGACCAATCATGTTTACTCAGAAGCAAGTGCCCCTGCTGGACTGCAGCCTTCATTAGTAGCCCTAGGTACTTGGGATCAGGAAAGTATTTTGAAAACTGGTTTCACTATAAGGAAGGATTGGGTAAAATGAACTGTTTCGGATCAGGGCAACCTTTTACCCTGGATTGCTTTGGACTATATTTTTTTCTCTTCTTTTTCAAAGACGGCATATATTAAAAGCAGAAGATCGGAACACAGCAGAGGTCTGGGGTGAAAACTATACTCAAGGCATAGGATCTAGGCTGGGTCTACACTAAGCACACCATCTATCTAGAGTTCGCAGCTTAACTCCCATCAGGATCACAGTGTGAAGTGGCAATATCCCTCCCAGCCCCAGTGGTTGAAACGGGAAGGATCTCTAAATAAGTGCGCTCAGGATCGCAGCCTTAAATCCTGCGCACACTCTTTTCGCAAATAAATGAAGTTCGACCAAAGTTACTTTTAAGCAGATCTTTGTTTAGGATTGGACTGGAGAGGGGCTGTTTGTTTTGTCGCTGACAATGGGAAGCAACCAGGGAAGATTAATAGCTGTGGTGCCCTCAGGCGAAGACTTTGGGGCTAATATCAAGAGTGCCCCCCCTCCCCAATTCAGCAGTATAAGCAGGAAAAACTTGCCCTTTCCTGAAACGCTGCGGGACAGGCTTCTCACAACCTGAATCAAAGTAATCTACGCCGCCATTTAAAGCAGAGGCATTAAATTTAGCAAACTACACGACTGGTAGAATTGACTCCATCACGCAGTTAAATAGCCTCCCCTGCAAGCGCCGTTGCTTTCAATCGGCTACTCCTTGAGGATTAAGCCTCATAGTACTGTAGACCCTGATCAGGATTAAGCATGCCTAATATATCGGGCATCAATCAGGATGGACCGCAGCCAGTTGAAAGGTGAAACCTTTGGGCTGGAGCCGGTTTGATTTCATTGACTTCAATCAGGCGCCGGTTGACGTCCAGGTAACTGAAATGGGGTGAGTAACAATGAGCTTGTCAGACGGGGCGGAATTGGACCGCCACCCGGAGGACAAGGAGAACCAAAAGAAAGGGACTAGTTCCAGTCAATGGAATTTGTATTCCAAGAAAATGGGGTCTTCGCTGTCAATCAATTCAATGGCACCCTCCTGTTTCCATCTGAAGAGCTGTGTCTAAACCAACCACCGCTACACTCGGTAACAATAAGAGGCATGGAAGGGAGGAGAAGATAGATAAATCTGCTGTATCCAAAGCAACTCCGTAACTTTAAACTATAGTCCTTTAAATTGGGGTTTATTGTGTCCCAGGGTGGTAAAAGGCAACTTCCTAAATTCTACATGACCAGGTAGACAGACTTTCAAAATTAATCGCTGCTCTATTTCCCCAGCTTTAGACATGCAGCCATGAAATGTTTGTCTTTAACTTAAATAAAATCAAATAAAGGCCTAAAAGAGACAGATAGACTGGAGTAAGGAAGAAGCTGTTTTGTAAAAGAGCATTGCCTTGCCACAGTTAATTTTGTGAAATCGTCTGGATTTAAAACCTTGCAACTGGTCCAGTCTCTTTTGCTCTGAGGCCCCACACATGTTTACTTGTGAGTCAGCCCGGCTGTGCTCAAAGAGACTTGAGGGTCTAAGAACTGGGGATAGGCTGCAGAATCCGACTAGATTTAAATCCCCTCTTGGGCTCAGATAGCTGCTCAGGAGGAGACTATTGAGTTCGTTAGGTTTTTACAGACATTTAAGGATTTAGAGCTTTAGTACAGTTGAATTACATGGGTCTGGCATTACTGCTCTATTCATCAATGGCTGACATGCTCTGCACAATTGTTGAATTTAGAGAGACTTCCTTCCCATTGATTTAGAGAAATCTTCATCTGACTGCCAACACATATTTCAGATCTTCATGAGCTGATTGGGGACACCTCACCTCAAAATGTTGGGATGACTGACATAATTATACCTGACTTAATTCAGAATGGATAGTTGTTCCTCCCTATTTGCAATAGCCTTTTTAGATTCTCATCAACTGCAGCAAGAATTTTAGTGGGGAAAACTTTGGGGAAAAAGAAGCTTCCATTCACCCAAAATGACATTTATATGTTCTAAAGATGTATGGATTGCAGCTTACAAGAAAATTATCTCTAGAACACCCTCACCTCCTTCACTGGAATGACTCCAGATAATAAGATAGTGTCTGCCTTGCAACCTCCCTGCACAAGCACATACACGCCTAGTGAGAAATTAAGTGCCATCACGTTCAGTAGGACTTACTCTCTGAGTAAGTGTAGGAATGCAATCCCAATATCCTTTGAAAATTAAAAATGCAGTTTTGGGTGCCTGACTAGAGCTTCCATGCTATGTTTTTCCCCCCTCTGCCAACAACACATATTCAAGTGGGAAATTATGCCAACTACAAACACACACATCTGTTCCCTCCCTGGCATCTGCCCCTCCAATGTAGGAGTGTCAACCCTCTATTCACAGCTGCTTTAAAAATGGGTGTTCAACCGGTGAAACATTCCTGCATCGCTCTCCTTTCTTGCCTTCTAGGTTTTTTTTAAAGGCATGTGTGTGTGTTCTGTGCCATCAAGTCGGAACAGGCATATAGCGACCCTAATAGGGTCTTTCAAGGGAAGTGGGAAGATATTTCAGGAGTGGTTTTACCAGTTCCACCACCAGTAAGTTTCCATAGCTAAGTGGGGATTCGAGCCCTGGTCTCCAGAATCCTAGTCACTCTGTCCACTACACCACACTAGGAAGGTGTAGAAAAGCCTAATACAAAGGCTTCTCCCTCCCCCTCAAATGGACTGAAAGTGCAATGAATTGGTGTCCTCTTGGGTTTATTTCCGACATAACAAAGCATCCGTCATAAGATCAATACCGAATAAATAAAAATCCACCCCTTATCTTGAAAGGGGCTATCAAGCAATAGCTGGGGGTTGGGATTGGAATTGGATTACGAGGCACAAAGGAACCCTTCAAAACCAACCCATGAAGAGAGGCAATGCTCAGAAAACAACGAAAGTGCATCACCGGGGGAAGCGCTTGTTCGGGAACGAGCGCCCCCTATGGGTCAGGAGGAGAAGAACGAGGAGGAGGAGGAGGAGGAAGCATCCGCAGCCACTTACAGTCTTGTCGTTGGGCTGCTGCTGCTGCAGCTGTTTCATCATGATGCTCCTTTTTTTGTCCTTGCAGCGCTTGTTTTGAAACCAGACCCGGATGACCCGAGGGCTGAGGCCAGTCATTTCCACCAGTTGCTCCTTCATGAGGGCGTCGGGCCGGGGGTTAGCGGCGTAGCAGGTCCGTAAGGTGTGAAGTTGCTTCTCGTTGAGGACGGTGCGGACGCGAGTGGTCTTCTCGGGCTGCTTATGGACATGCGGCCTCAGAGCCGGCTGCCTGGCAGAGATAGGTTCTGCTGTAAAGGAGGGAGGGGAAAAGGGAAGCAACAGGAGCCCTGTCAGTGGCCGGGCAGGAGCACAACCCCAGGGCGCCCCCTCCCAAAGGAATCGAGGGGGCAGCGGTCTGCCCCTCCCTTCCCTAAGCCATGGGAGAGGGGCGATAGGTGAGAGTTTAGGAAAGTTTTTTTAGAAGAACACACAGTTCCCATAATCCCCACCACCACTTTAGGAATAACTCCACAAGGACTCTAGAAGGAATAGAGGAAGTTCCTCGTTTGCCAAGGACCCTTTGGCTTTTCCCCCTTAACCCACTTTCCCAGCAGTAGTCAAAACACACAAGTAACCCATCGTTTGAGATCTTCTCTCCTTATCTACTGCTTCTGTCTAACCTCTGCCCCAGTTGCCTAGCCCTTGGAGGACAGGAACCTGGGATCCTTTTTTTCTTTTCTTTTCTTTCTTTTAGCCCTTGGAGGACAGGAACCTGGGTTCCTTTATCTTTTCTTTTCTTTCTTTCTTTTTGACTACATAAGACCTACTGTACTGTAATGGGACTTCAGTTATGGGTGAGAAAGGACTGGGTTCTTCTCCCTGTTGAGAGCCATGTGATAGGCGATTCTATTTTCGGCAGCTCAAATCATCCACCATCCTGAAATTCAGTGACAATTTTGCTCGTAGGAGCTCCATGGATGGCGGTCTCCTTGGGCAGCCCAGTCCTGTCCGTGTTTACCCTCCCTGCATCAAGAAAAGAAATTCTAGGGAGCTTACGATGTGCACAAGATTGTAAAGATTCTACACATGCTGGTTTGGGTGGGTGGAACAAAGCACAGACTTGCTAGAAAGATTGAGAGAGAAATTTCCACCTCAAGGTGTTTAGGGGACTTCTCACTTGGGCGGGCTCCATTCCAGATGTGAGGAAGGAATAATTCCTGGAAGGAATAAAGGAAGTGGGAGACAGCTGGTCTCTCCCTCCCTGGTGCCACTGGCCAGAATTGTTACTGCTCGAGGAATCATCTAGTCCTGTATTAGGCTCCCTGGGGGGGTCTTCCACATGTTTTGGATTGCAACTCCCATCATCCCCAGTGAGCGAGACCAAGAGATGGGGTTGATAAGTTTTGCAGTCAAAACATCCAGAGGCTGCTCAGTTACCCTTTGGGCCTTGAAATAGTCATTTTCTTGTCCTGGGCCTTTGGCGTGACATAGATGGATCTCCTGTCCTTCTGGCAGACCAAAGCACATCACAACAATCTTAGGTGTGTGAAACTGAGGGAGGCAGAGAGGTGGAGCAATCGCACCTTGTGTCCTAAATTTATTTTTTATTTCAATACTCATACTGTACTGTGTTCTTGTGTTGCACAAACAGAATCCTACTAACAGTACTGTGCAGCGTGGCCCACCTAGCCTAGAAAAAAACTTCCTCTAGACACTTTTGGGATGGAGCAATTCAGTTGTTCTGGTATAAAACTCTCCACTTCCTGCCCCTTTCAATCCCAGCCTGGTTGGTCCACTGCTCATGTCTCATTGTACCTTCTGATTTGTCTCCTTTTCTTTACCCCATTTAGTGGCTTCATCATTCATGAGTCCTAACTTAACTGCAGAGCAATCTACTGGGAATGTGAGACAATGATATTTTGCAGCACATTTCCCAATTAAAAAGAGTCACACAGATGGAAGTGATGGAGAGGCGGCTATACTGATAGCAAATCTACATAAATTGCACTGCGATAATATAACTGTGATCTAAATGTTGGTGAGTTAAAATGAACATACACATTTCTCTCTGTTATTTCTTTTTCCAAAATACAATGGGCAGACTTTTTCTAAATTATGTATTCTTTTTAAATGCTCTCAGGACCTACTTCTGAGTAAACCTACTGAAATTATGCTATAGCATTTCCTTTACTGGAGGGAGATTGTCACCTTTCAGTTTGATCATATATGTGTGCTCACTTGGGATGCAAGTTCATTTTGTGATCAATAGAAGTTACATCCAGGTGGGTGTACAAGGGATTTCAGCCTAAGCTGCTATGTCAAAAGAAAAGTTAAAACTAAGATGAGTTTCCAGGTACAGATGTTGAGAAAATGCACTTTGGATAGCCCATCTTAACTGTCCTCAACTTGGAAGTGAATGCTACAAAAATTAGTAGAATTTACTTTCCAATATTAATTTAGGGAAACAACTGCTGCCTTGATATGTTGCACTCATGGCAATTGGTAGCCAATGCAACACAATCCAGATCACATGAAAAGCATTACACAGAGTATTGGCATAAGAACCTGTGTCTATATGTCTGTCTCTCCCTCCTTCAATACTGACTAAGCAGGGAGAGTGAATAATCAGTTGCCACTTCCCTGGTTCACATTTTCTCTTTTGTTTCTTGTAGCTGTTCTTCGCACCCCTTCAATTTGATGCTATCCAAGTCAGATTAGTCAGTCTTTTGTATATGGCACAGAAGGGAAAGGAGCCCCAATATTGGAATTTCAGCGTTAAAGACCCAAAGGATCAAACTTCCTCTTTCTTAGCCTGCACACATTTTTTTTGAAAGAAATCCCAGCAAAATGAATGATATGTAAATGTCTACAGGCATCCAACATTGCTTTGGTGGCCTTAATTATAACTTGGTAAATGCCACCAAGTTCAGTGTATGCTATTATATTATCATGCACCCAGTGAGTGTATGATAATATAAAAGAGCAACTAAGTCACATTAGAGCTTTTCTCCCTGGAATGGGATAGGAGAAATGAGCAGGAATGCTGAGCACTGGCAGAGCTATTTTCTTGAAGTTGGGAGGGTGGGATACAGGGGGCTGCAATGCTAAAATGGAATAAAAGTGAAGTAAAAGCATATCCACTGATAGGCTGACTCTAAAGATTGCAGCTGAGTTCTCTCACCCAAATCACGAAAACCTTGGAGAAGAAGGTGTAGAATCCTTTTGAAGGCCAATTACCAAAGATTAGTTTGTTGACAGTTTTAAATTACTGCTTGAAGGGTTTGCCTGCCTATTAGCCTACCTCTTTCTTTCTGAAACCAGATCCCCACCCACCCCCAATGCCACCCCCAAGATTTCATTCAAAGCAGGCCAGATTTAGAAGAACCTAATAGGAAAGGATGGTGTGCAGGCACTTTTTTCTGTAGGGAACACTGTCTCACTCCGACCGCACTCTCTCACTCCAACCTCATATTTCCCATTTTGCTCATCAGGTCACTCCCTCCATCCCTGTTCAGTTTAGAAATATACTTTAAAAATTGATGGCAAGGAGAGTAAAATCCTAAAACATGTACTCAGGGTGAAAAATCTTCAGCTGCAATTCTATTTTTGCCTATCCAGGAGTAAGTCTAATTGAATCAATAAGGGCAGCTTTTGAGTAGACTGATTGCACTGACGCATGCCTAAAATATACATAAGACTTTGGGGGGAAGATAATTCCATTTGAATCATTCTTGCCTCCTATATTTTAAAAAAAACACACCTCTTCCTTGCAAAACAAGCTTTTATCTATGTGACTTCTCCCCCTACATTGGCTTTATTTACAGTCTTAGATATAAGCACTTTAGAATTATCTGCACCACAAAACTGGTAGCGCAAGACAAACAACTCTATATAAACAGGCATCCATGCATATAAAAATACGTGTGAATGCTCCTGTTTATAATAAGCGAGTGATAAGGTATATCACTTTTCCAGTCCTTTGGTCAGTGCATAATATGGTGTTTACCTTTATATGCTCTTTGGACTGTAGCATACCTCTAATTTATTTCAAAGTTTGTTCATTTCTGAAAGAAATATCTTCAATAGGAGAATGACTGGACTCCATGACCGGACCCCAAAGGGGCTGAAGGGTTCTCCCACACTGAGTCTAGCTCTTTCCACCACATCCTCAGCGTCTGCCCTACAATTCACGAAAGTTCTCCCTGGTAGCCCTTTCTAAAAGGACAAAATAGCCCCATAAGGCAAGTTTATTTGACCATAGAGGCAATATTTTCGCCTTTTTCCCAAACCTGTGCCCTCCAGATGGGTGAGATTACAACTCCTCTCATCCCTAACCCATAGGATGAAATCCTGAGAACATTTACTCAGTAAAGTAAGGTGCTTGAGATGAGTTGGGACTAAAATTGCCTTTCTAGACAGTAAGTACTATAATATTCAGTGTGATTCGATGCTGAACAGACATAGGCAGATTTGTAGTCTCAGTTTCATGGAACAGGGTTGTAGCCTTAAGCAAACTAACCCATAGCTCTTGGTCACCTTGCTGTCTAAACCCACATGACTCACAAATTGCATTAATGTTGGCTGCTTCTAAAGCGACATCCTCTACAGGAGAAGGAGGAGGTTCCTTTGAGGAACAGCGAGACTTTTCCAGGTAAGCCTGGATAGATCAGAGGTGCACATACAGACGTACAGTCCTGGTCACACACACACACACACCTACTTTAGAGTAAGCCTTGGGAGTAGACATGGATAGGACTGGCCTGCTTGTCTCACTGACATCCCTCACTTAACTTCCGTCTGAGTGAAGGTCCCAATCCAGGAATGATATGAGCAACTGCAATGACATTGCCCAGTAAAACTTATTCCTGAACAAAGATTTTTAAAATTGTCCTACAAGATCTTTGCTTACTCGAGACCAAGCCTTGTTGTTTTATGTGAGATTTACTTTCCAATAAACATGCAAAAGAACCTTCCACATCCCGTTCATTTCTGTGCAACTGAGATAAACATGTAGAAGCGTTTGTTTTTCTGCCAAACTTCTTACTAGCCACAGTTAAGCTAAACAATTACTGTACCCATCTTTTTGATTTCACTGTGACATTCCTATAGGTTACACATTCACTGCAATATTTCAAGCCTCATCTTATAGGCTCATAGAATGTTTGTGCGACTGTTTATAGGACTGCAGTTTTAGGTACCTTTGCAAGAGAGGTATCTATCGCTCCTTCTCACACTCGGCTGCATTTTTGTGTGAAGGGTGTGTGCTTTATCCTTTTCCTTGCTGTCATTTCCCTATCACAACTATAAACATCTTGACATTCTCTCTCTATCTTCCCATCCCCCCCCCCTTCTTAAACACTAAGGCTGCAACAGTCCTAGAAGCAAGCCCCATTGAACTCAATAGGATTTACTTCACTATCAGATCATTACTCCTCCACTGAGAGCTAAAGCTGGTTTTAATGCCAATACAGAATCTGGCTCTGAGGAACAGGGCTAGCCAGAGATATTGGACTGCCTGATGCACCCAAGGAAAGGGCACCCTCCTCATATACACCCCCCACCCCAGACTGGGAACCGAAAGCTGGCCATTGGCCAAGGCCTCAGAAAGACCCCCCAAAAGTGCATCTCTGCCTGGTTTGCAATAAAAGAAGGTTGTTTAAAGAAGAAGAAGAAGAAAGGAGTCATTATAAATAAATTAGCTAGCATGTTGCCGTTCTTAATAATGCCCTCCATCTGCTGCCTAAGGCAGTCGGCTCACTTTGCCTTAGGCTAGGGCCGGCCTTGACTAAGAGGTAGGAGGCAGTGGGGAACACAACCAAGGCTCAAAACCTCTCCTCCCCAGCCTCCCCTCCAGGTTCTCTCTTTCTGCGTGCCCTTCCCAAGGGCGGCGGGAAGTACCTGCCATCTGTAGCGGCCTGGCGGGGTGCAAGGGGCTGAGGGGGTCCCCCGCGCCGAGGCTGGCTCGCTCCACCACGTCGTGATCCGCCCGGCAGAAAAGGCCATCCTCCCGCAGCGCGAACTCGTCGCCGGGGATCAGCTGCCGGCTGCAGGCCACGCAGCGAAAGCACTCGATGTGGTAGACCTTGGAGCGGGCCCGCATCACGAAGTCGTTCTTGCTGAAGCCAATGTTGCACTTGGCGCATTTGATGCCGTATAACCTGCGCCCGGGCCCCGCCGGCGAGGGGGGAGAAAGGAGGAAAGCGGGGAAGGCGAGAGAAAAGGGAAAGGAGACGCCGTTAGTGGCAAGCAGGCCACGCAGCGAAAGCACTCGATGTGGTAGACCTTGGAGCGGGCCCGCATCACGAAGTCGTTCTTGCTGAAGCCAATGTTGCACTTGGCGCATTTGATGCCGTATAACCTGCGCCCGGGCCCCGCCGGCGAGGGGGGAGAAAGGAGGAAAGCGGGGAAGGCGAGAGAAAAGGGAAAGGAGACGCCGTTAGTGGCAAGGCAACGGCCGCCCCATCGGACCTTCCCTTTTCCGAGCCAACTGATCCATTATCCTGGACGTGGAAAACGGTCCCCTAAGGGAGAGGGGGACTGCATCACCCATCACCCCCAAGATGGATGATGGGAACGGTAGTTCCCTTAAGGGAACGTTTCCGAGACGTGGAATTACTAGCCAGTTTAACAATCCTTTCCATTTCACACAATCGCTCTAGAAGCTGGAAGGGGGGGCAGACTCTAGAAGGGGGCAAGACAACGCCATGCAATGAAGGTGGGGGGTGAGGGGTGGCATTAGCCATACACAGAGGGTTTGTTTTTAAGAGGAGGGAGGTATAGGAACATGTATTCTCCCTATGTCTCCTAAACTCAAGGTATTCAGTTCCAAGGGATGTCTTGAAAACGGACCAGCCCTATAGACCACAGAAAGCAAGCCGTTCTGCGTGGCTCTCCTTTAAAACGGCAGCCTTTGAAAACAGTGCAGACAAGGGAACCAGATTAGAACCGCAAGAGAATGACAACCAACCTGGAGCGGGGGGGGGGGTGTGACTGCAGAGAAAGCCCCGCTAAATTTAGCGGAGCAGAGAGTAATCATGCTTAGATTGCATTATGAGCCTCAGTTTCTTATTCCCACCGACCGACACCCCCCCCCGCCAAATCTCAGTCCTAGGCTCTGAAATTTGAAAGGCAAGTCGCCCTGAGTTCAGCGACTCCCTGCCCCTTCGAAGGAAGCTGAAAAGGGATTTCAGACTTTAATAAGCCGCCTTCCGTGCCTTGCTGGAGAAGCCAGTGGGTTTTCCTTTTGGCGGACAAAAAAAAATAGGCGAGGTCTCTTGGAGCAGTGTATTCCGGGATGGAGAGAAATATATTCCGGATACAAAGGAATCCTGCTTTTATTGGGGAATTATTGTTGCTTAAAGCCCAGTGCAAGGACCATATCTCCCTATGCTAATTAAAAGAGGAGAGGAAAAGGCGTCGCTCCACAAGTATCTGAGTTTTTCTTTACCCACGGGCAACGCAAAGGAGTCTCAACGCAGGGAGACGTGGATCGGGGTCACCGGAGGCAACCATCACCCAAGGCAAAGCTGTTTGGCCGGCCTGGGATTTCACACCTTGCCAGCCTTTCTTAAGCCTGCTTACTCGAGTGCAAGTCAAGTTCAAGGAGGCGGAGGTTTTCTCTCGGAGAAACGCACGCTTCAGCAGCAAATAAAAACGAAATCTCTTCGACTGTTCCCGGCGATCTATAGAATCATTTCTGTGTGCCCCCTCCCGCCACCTCAACGCGCGCCGAACTCCAGAGTAATCCTACTGAAACCAAAGAGGGTTTCTCCAGAACATACAGGAAAGGGCAAGTAAGGTTTCTTAAAGGGAAAGGATGTCGGACAGAACCGGTAGCTTTAGAGGGGGTGGGGAAGGGAAGTTCTAAATGGAGGGACTGATAGGAAAACGTGTTTGCATTAGCTACTGCGACTGAAAATGAATGACTTTATAGGAAAACGTGTCTATTAATCTAGAATCATCATCAGCAAATCCACCCGGACGGACGAGAACGCTTGAAAGGCTCAGGCAGACTCAGAATGGCTGGACACTCGGGTCGTATTCTGTAATTCTTCGGTACACTTTCAGTACGACGCAGCGTCTTTCTATGCTCACAGTTTGTTCGTTTTGGGCCTCTAGTACAATTATATCGGCACGCACACACTCCTATGCAAAGGTTTTATTATGGATATGCAATTCACCTTCTTAAAAACGAACAGGAGAAGAGGCGCGCGAAAGTGACATGGTATGAAATATAATTTATGTTGCAGGTCTAGATCCACTGACCAGGGAATAGGCCACATGGAGCTGCGTGACACTTACCTCGGAGTAAGCGTGTACGGGATTTCCTAAAGCCTGATGCTGAATCCTCTCTGGCGCAAAGGAATAAGCGAACAACCGCCCAATGAGCGTCTTTCCTTAGAGAGGTTGGCAATATTTGGGGGCAAAATAATTGAACCCAAAAATCAGCCCGACGGACGCTCCTCTGGACCTGACCTGTTCAAATCTACGGGCCCGCCCCGTTGGGCAAGGCCGCGATCCGAAAGCCTCTTGAGGAGCAGCAAATCCGGGCGGCCTACTTTGACCTACCCTACTTTGACCTACCCACGTACCTAAAAGATGGCCGAGTAAGGTCTGGAAAACGCTTTCCGAAGCAAACATTCGGGGAAGCCGATGCCCCCACCGGTGCTAGGAGATCGGTTACTTCCGAGTAAACACGGAAAGAACGAGCCTGCAAGGACGCTGCGGATCGGTGCCTAAACAGCAAGGTCAGGGCAGAAGGCACGGGGCCGCCCGGAAAGAACGCTTAAAATGTTTTTTTTTTTAAGTCAATGTTTGCTTCTCATTCGCTCCATCTCTCCGCAGGCTTCCCAGTGTTTTCTCCCGACTAAGTGAGCTTTTGAATTTTTTTGGGGGGGGGAGCGGGATCCAGTCGACCGACAGGAGCGCTTGGGGCGGCCGGATCTCTTAGACAAAGGCTTAGAGAGCAAAGCCCTCCTTTCTGGGCCGGTTCCCAGACTTTCCTAGACAGGAGAAGTTAATTCCCACCAAGCTGACCCTCCAGGTAGCAAACTGCATTTTAGGGAACGTTGGATCGATTCGGAGGGAATCTGCCCGAAGATCCTAATTAAATGGAAAGTCACACCAAGCAAACAACCAGGAACTGTGGGCACAATCTTGCGGAAAACTCTCCTGCCCACTGCTGAGAAGGGACCTTCTGCAGGACAATTGTCCACCAGCTTCTAACGCCGGTTCAAGATCTATTTAGAGCTGCTCAACTTTTGCCCTCTCGGCCAGGAACAAATAAACCAGCAGGACACACGGTAGCCTTGCGTAATCTAAAACACCCCCCTATTTTAAATAAATAAATAAATAAATAAATAAATAAATAAATAAATAGCAAGAAGACACCGAGTCCTCTTCCGTTTTTTCTAAAGGTTTCACTACAGTGGCTAGCGGTACCTTTTTTTCTTTGTTTTTTTTTCTCCCCCCCCCCTTCTCTTTTAAATCATCTCCCAGATTTTCATGCTAGGAAGGAAGCTGTTCCATTATCTAAATGTACCGATTGTTCGCCAACAGATGAGGGAGCAATTTGATCGCCTCTGTCCAATTCATCAAGGCAGATAAGATAAGAAAAGGAGAGGCGGTCCGAGAGCGCCTTAAGGGTTAATATTTACAAAGATAAAATGTAATAGGATTTCCCCCCCCCCCTGTTTTTTGGTTTTGCAGCCCCCTCGCCGGTATTTGAAGCAAACCTTCTTTTATTCGAGAAACAGAAGGAGGTGGCGGCTGCTGTGGTCCTTAACAAATAATAATCAGGTTTATTTACCATACATTCTGCAATGACTTCACTGACAGTATGCGGAGCCAGACCCTATTTCCCTAGGATCCCTTTATTTATTTCTCAAGCAGTGGAAGGATCTACTTCTACTGGGCTAATATTTTTGTTTGCCTGTTACAATATCTCTTGGTTAAATATATAAAAACCACTAGACACAGTCAGGCAGCTAGCTGCCAGGCAAAGGAAGCCCCAACGGCCACCCACTTCATTTCCATTAGACTAATATTAGCTAAAGTCTAATGGGGAGGGGAGGAGGTGAAGGCGCTAAGTTGAAAGAAGGGTTCGATCCAGAGAAACCGTGACAAAATGGTAGGCGTAGGCAGCTACCTCTGCAACATTGTAGTACTAGATTTCCTCCAGGCATCCCCACCTGGTATAAGACATATTTTGGGAAAGCAGTGGCACTCATTTCAAAGAGCTTCTGGTTTTGGCTTCTCCTTCCCAAACAACCTACACTGAGGCCCGGATGTCAAGATGCTTACTTGGAAGTAGGAGGCGTTGATCGCGGTGGAGCTTCCTTCTATGAATTATTTAGGCCCGGGGGTATTAGGGATGATCGAGGGCATGCATTTGAAGAGCCCAATCCTGGGCACATTTTCTTAGAAGAAAATCTAGCTGAGGACGGAACATAATTTTCAGACGACCGTAACAACGCGCCACCGCGCCGGGATATGGCAAGGGCGGATGGGTCCTGACAAAACACATTCGTTCAGAAGGGTCCTCCTTATTTTGGTTAAAGGCACCTTGTATTAAAATTCTGTTGGGCGGGGAAAGGAAAATATTTACCCCCAACTATATTCATTTACCAACAGGCGCACATTTCATTTCGTTCAGCTGCCCTTTCTGCATGATGGCGATCAGTTTTACCCATTGAACTCAATGGGATTTACTCCACTCAACGCACATAAGGCCGGATTCTCTCTTTCTGTTTAGACACGTCTAACAATCCGACCTTCTGAACACATGCAAAGGAGCACACGGGCTTTCTTCGTTTCTTTAAGAGGATTTCCTTCAGACCGATGAGTAACTTACCTTTAGATAATTCTATTTAAGAGGCAGCCTAATTTTTCCCATTAAAAAAAATGTCACGGGGACCTTTTTTTACTCGAATTCTCCCAATCAACTAAAAATACAAAATTCTGTCCCTCTGTCTAAGTCCATCTCTCTCTCGGATTACTTCAGTGTAAGCAGGATGAGACGGTGGGGGCGGAAGGGGAGGGCGCAGAGACAGAGAAAGAAGAAAGAAAGGTAAGCTTCGTACCTGATATAATCTCTTTTACAGTAGGTTTTCCCGTCCCTAACAAAGCAGGTACAAGTCTCGTCCAAATACTGGTTACATTCCGCACACTTCAAACATGCCGCGTGCCATTCCAAATCCGGCGAAACTCTGAGAATATACTGGTCGTGGATTTGATTGCCGCAACCGACGCATAGGGAAATCAGCCGTTTTTCTGCAAGGCAAATAATAAAAGACATGATTGACTAACCGTTTGCTCTCCTACGGTGATAAACGCACTTTATTAGTGTCGATCACCCGCGTATAAGGGCTTGCTACTCTCAGGGAGCCGAGGCTGCTGCTGTTGATAGGGTTGCCTTAGATGCGGGGAGGGTGTGTACGTGGATGGGTGTCGGGGGGGGAGAGGGCTCGGGGAGAGAGGGTACGAGGAGAGACAGGGTAGCATTTTAGGATGGGAATTGGTGTGTGTGCGCCGTCGAAGGCTTCCCTCCTTGAGGAAGGAGGCGGAACGCCAATTCAAATGCACACAGGACCGGCATAATCAAGGACCGGCACATTTTACACGCCTTCCACGCAATCCAAACAACCCCTCCAAGACTTTCTCTCTTTTTTTAGGGAGGGGGCGAAAACTGCCTGTTTGTGTGTGTGTGTGTGTGTGTGATTAATTTTGCACCTTGCGTGCAAATTAAAAAAGGCGGGGAAAGAGAACCTCGGGGCTCTGAGCTAAAGCAGGCAAGGGTCTGATTTGTCAATTTCAGGCCCTCTAGTCAATTTCATCCACTTTTTGCCAAAAGGCTGATTCGACTCTAGAGAGATCTTCTAAGGGTAAGAAAAGGAGACAGACGTTTTCGAAGACCGGCCCGGACGGTTTTATGCAAGCGGTCGCCGCCTCGATCGCCAGCATAGGTACTTGGGAAGCAGCCCCATGGAGGTCAATGAGAATGGCTCCCTTCAAACCATAAACCCTTTTATAATAGCCGAAGGGCACCAATCCCCCTCTTAGGGAAAAGTTAATGCCACGACACGTAGGGGAATCTGGATGCATCCAGAGTTTTTGACAGACACCTCTCCCCCTCGCACCGGCGTCCTGGTGATCCTTAAACACATTTACGAGAAACTGAATCCCATTGATTGGCAACAAAACTCACTTGCAGCGAATGCATTCAAAATTTTAGCATGGTGTAGCCTCCCTGGACAGGAAGGCTTCCCCTCTCGGCCCAATTTTGAGGCCCGATCCTTATTCCCCCACCTCTGCCATAGGTCTCGCCTGTTCCCATCCCCCACCGCCTTGTTTTACACCGGAGGCTCTTCTTCAGAGCAACCAAGGTAGTGGCAACGCGAGGCTCCAACAGCCTACAAGCCCAAAAGGCAACTGCTATGCTTTCTCTGTATCTTGGGTGCTACTGTTTCCTTTCAAAGAGCAGGTTATTAATGACTTTCTTACCCCACCTCTGCCATAGGTCTCGCCTGTTCCCATCCCCCACCGCCTTGTTTTACACCGGAGGCTCTTCTTCAGAGCAACCAAGGTAGTGGCAACGCGAGGCTCCAACAGCCTACAAGCCCAAAAGGCAACTGCTATGCTTTCTCTGTATCTTGGGTGCTACTGTTTCCTTTCAAAGAGCAGGTTATTAATGACTTTCTTATTATTACCACATCTCTGTAAGAGGGTATAGTGTCCACAGTGAAATGGTGCAGGGTGCCGATGGAACTTCCCAGATTTTTTTTTAAAAAAGGACGGGAGAGGGAGAGGCAGAAAAGAACACACTGTTGCTTCCTTTGGGAAAGAAGATGCTGTCAATGGCAGCGAGGCTTGATTCTGCTGCTCCTGAGTGGATGAGTCCTAGGAAGGTGGGATTATTTTGTTCCCCTGCTTGTTACGGCGACGATCCTTTCAAAGGAAAAGCAAGGGGGGGAGGGAGGGTAAGGAAGAGGTGAGGAAAACACACACCCGGAATGAGCCAGAGTGAAATCTAAGCGAGCGAGAGGCAGTGCCCGTGGTGCAGAACTCCGCGCGCCGCGGCCACCAGCCTCTTCCTTATCTCTTACTCAAACTTCTCTGCTCCAACTCCACCCGCTCGCCATTGGTCGGCGTCGGCCGCGGGGACGTCAAGCCCGCTCGCCTCCGATTGGCCGGAGGGAACACAGAAGCAGCTGTTCTGATTATCATATTTCACTGGCTGGAGCTCTTTCGAACGGGGGGGGGGTTGAGAAAGAGAGAGAGGGAAAGAAAGGCGAGCAGGAGGTTAGGGAGACCTGCGGTACCACTAGAAATGGGGAGGGGGGGAGAGGACAATCAGAGGCAACGTTGGGCTCCTCGTGTGATTTCTCCCCCCCCCTTTTAAGCCTTGCAATTTTTTAATTTTGCGAACCCACCCCCCGGCTTAATATCTCCTTGCATCCCTGCTCCAACTCTTCTCTCCCTGCATTGGATTAAAAGGAAGGCAGCTGTCTTTCACCACCACCACCACCACCGTCACACTTCGGCGATGTCTCTTCCAACCACCCCACCCCCGAGAAAGAAGCAAGACGTTGGTTGCTCTAAACTCGTTTCACTCAGCCCCCCCCCTTCTGCCGGACTGAAATCTCCCCTCCCCGCAAGAAGCGAAATTGATCAGATCAAATATTGGGGGAGGGAGATAAAAGAGGAGGAGCGGTGGATTAAAAGCAATGCAATCTGTATTATGCCACGAAAAGGGGGCAATAAAGGCTTAGCTGCTTAGATATTTACCCCGCTGTACTTTTTAAAATTATGGTTTAAGACTTTAAAATACAAGCGCAAGCGAGACTCTAGTTGACCTCGGATTGTTAGAGCTTTAAAACCTGCTTTTCCCTCTCTCGTTCCCCGCAAATAATTATTTGTATCTGACTTGTATCCCTCCTCTCTAGTTTATGACACAAATGACCAGGGACCTGTGGATCTCCTTCATTTACACAAGTTTAGCAGTTATTAACAGACGGTCATGCGTTTTGTGCGGAAGCCTGTCTGAATAATCCAGTAAAAACAAGTTTTGCTGGGAATAAGCTGTTGCCCATTACAGTCCCCGTCATGATTCCCAGATCGGTGGGTTTAGGATTGTAATGACCCCCTCCCAAGTTTGATTTTATTGTATGGGTGTGGGGGGGGGAGGAAAGAAGGATGATTGTTGCTCTTTGGTATGGTGCCTTGAGCTTCCCGTAGGAAGCGCGGGGGTGGGGGGAAAGAGCTACTCTTGCTGCTAGTAAATATGATCTCTAGTCTTTTTTAGAAGACGAGCGGGCAAAATATAATCACTCCTGTAATCACCATTACTAATCCCACCCCACCCCTAATCGCCATCACTAATGCCACCACCATTCCTGCTGCTGTTATCAAGGACCACAAAACCAGGCACTGTTGCTACAGCTTATTCTACAGACGGAAAACTACTTCCATGGTTTCCTTCTCTGCTGTGAAAAGGCAGGGTTTCTGGCTCGGTTAGACATCCCATCTACCATTCACCTTATTCGCTACCCCAAGATTTGAGGTTAATCTCATTTGTGGCAATAAGGCTAGTACCGACTCTACGCCCCTTCCATTCGGAGTCACCGTTCACCGACCAGATTCTGCCGCTTTCTGCAGAGGTTATGTTACCTGCCCTCAAGTCGGAACCGATTTATAGCGACCCTAATAGGGCTTTCAAAGTAAGTGAGATATTTCAGGGGTGGTTTTACCAGTTCCACACCCCTAGTGAGTTACCATGGCTGAGCGGAGTTTCGAACCTAGGCCTCCGGAGTACTAGTCTGTCACTCTATCCCTTACACACCACACTGGTTGAAGTTTTGGAAGAGGTACCCACACTGAGTATCTTTCTTCACATTACAGTACCCCCCAACAGAATTCATGACTTTAGTCATGTTAGGATCGTTTAACTGGTGTACGGCGAGGGGTAACTTTTAGGAGAGTGACTGGAACATTAACCCGCTGCTCAATTGCTTCCAAGATCTGATCCGCCAATATAATCCGGATACAAATCTGATTCGCTCGGTTTTCAAGTAGATCGTGGCTCCACTGACTTCTGCTGCATTTTCACTTACCTTGTGGACTCTACCGAGTTACGTCTTATCATGTCATTCCAGAACCACCTACTTAGAATACGTTTGCAAAATTTGCAGCTAGCAGTATTTCTGGAGGAAGGCTGAACGAGAATCCAACGTCCAGTTCTCTCTCTCTCTCTCTCTCCAGCTTCCATTAATTGCAGCGGAGATTGTTCAAGAAAAGCAGCATTAAAAATGAGCAAACCTTTATTATAGTAGAGGTTTTGTAGATTGTATATGAAGTGGGGTCCCTCCCCTTTTGATAACACTGCTGGAATCTTAACCGGGTGGACGGAAGATATGGGTCGCTCTCAACATTTGTAACTGTTGATCAGCAGAACACTTGGTTAGCTCCTCTACCCTACAGTAGAGAACACAGGACAGCCGTAAATAAGCGTGAACGGGTTGAAATGCAACGCTTTTATCACTGATGCTCTTGAATTAAAGTTGATACTTTGATGCCTGAAATAGAAACGAGCGGTGAAAGAGAAAGTCCGAGACTCGAAAGTACTTTTAATTGGGGGGTCTGCAAGAAGGGAAGGCAAATATGCGTTCCTTTTCTCTACTGGTTGTTTTCAAAGGAATGTAACGTTCCCGTGGAGATAAGTGTCACGAAAATGATCCCCGGGTAAGGTCAGAAGGCAAACTCGGCGGTGTAAACAAACATGGCTGATATATTTCACCATTCAATGTACACAGTGGCAGATGGAGGTTAAGGTGATCATTTTAAATTTCCTGGAATAAGAAAGAAAGAAAGAAAGAAAGAAAGAAAGAAAGAAAGAAAGAAAGAAAGAAAGAAAGAAAGAAAGAAAGAAAGAGAAATTAATTACATCCCTTCCCATCTGCGATGTTTAGCTTTGTAAACCAATAAGCAATTTCAGTAATAACAGCTGATGATAGCAATCCCAAATCCTGCAAGCTGGCATGCTAGAGGGAAAGAAGGAGGGGTCTTTTTCAATAGATGGTTTGACTAGAATAGACCAGCCAACAACCCGTCTCTCATTTTAGACGCAGGGAGAAAGCCCGTGATTTCTTCATACTCCCCTTTCACGACGAAGTGGATGTACAGGATGAAATTCCGAGAGCGCTGATTGGTGAAACTGTGGCAAAGTACCAGAGAATCTTAGCTCTGCAACATTCAGAAGACTGGAGTGGGGTTGGGTTGGTCTACTCCCCCCATCTCTCAGTCATCCTATTTGGCAGATGCAAATTGGGGCAAGACGCTATGGATTTAAAATCTAGTATGCTTTCCTATGAAAAATGTTACCATCCCTTGTGTGGACACAAATTGCACCATTATTATTTGCTCCAAATGGCTAAGCTGTCTTTAACACACGCACGCAAGCGCACGCACACACACAGACACACACACACAACACAAATTGCACCACTATTATTTGCTCCAAATGACTAAGCTGTCTTTAACACACGCACGCGCACGCACGCACGCACGCACACACACACACACACACACACACACGCACACAAACAAGTCTAGATTTTTCTTTTCCTCTTCTCCACAGGATATTTACTCATAATTATATTCTTGCATGCAGATAGATTGTGTGATCTACAGTATTCTGATCTAGCTATAGTGCCATTGAAACCCGTAACAAACGGGAGCATCGTTTGCTCCAACTGATCCAGAGAAACCTAGCTTGCTCTTTTGTCTAGCTGATAACTTATGTTTCCCGTTCTGAGCATTTACCCTGTATGTACACCAGCGTATTCATTTGGAGTATCTCTGACGCACATAGTCTCGGCACTTACTGTATATCTATGTGTTTTAATAGAATCATCTGCTGATGGAAGAGACGAAAGGATGTTTTGGGTTCTTTCCCGCAGTCGTCTCGTTCACAACAGCGACACCTCGCGTCCGAAAGGGGAATGCGCCTCCTAGCATCATATCGACGCCCACCAGCCTAATTCAGGGGACCTTTTATTTTCCATTCCTATAAACACAATTAGGCGCTCTAGGCTAATGAGGTTTCCTCATGGGCCACATGAATGAACAGCCTTTATGGGTAGCAAAGAAAGGGGGAAACTCGTATAACTTTTATACGACGCCCGATCATAATATAAGGATCGACGGGGGTTAAAGATTTGAATAGATGGGCTATTTCGCCCCACGTCCCTTGTGATCTTTTTCTTCTTCTTTTTTTACCCCTAAATGTCTGCATTCTTTCTGGTTTAACCAACCTCGATGGGAATTATACACGCAGGAAACTACTGCTGTTTTTAACCCCCATCTTATCCTGGTTGCCAGAAAGCAGCCCTGTCTTCTCTTACTTCTCCCTCCCCTCATTTTTTCAAGCCCCCCCCATCATCATGTTTTTTTTTAAACAAACAAACTTCTGGGACAGGAGAAATCACACTGAAGCTCCATATGAAATGATACGCAAGAATCTGTCTCCACCCCACTGTACAGAGGCAAAGAAGGAAAAGGAGGTCTCGGGTCTGAGCTGGATTTTACCTCCCTTCCCCTTGCCCTTCCCCACCTCCCTTCCCCATTTTGCTACTGACTTGTCTGCCTGCCAGGCGGTACAATGGGGAACGTTTTAAAGGAACTAAAGGAAAAACAAGCGGCTTTCAGCGAATAAGGTAAACAACGACGACGAAGTTGAGTACCGCTACAAATATGTTTTATTTATAATAGCAGATGATGATGGGGAAAATGTCAAGATGTGCGTCTTGCAGATATGATTGAATCTTTCTTTCTTTCTTTCTTTCTTTCTTTCTTTCTTTCTTTCTTTCTTTCTTTCTTTCTTTCTTTCTTTCTTTCTTTCTTTCTTTCTTTCTTTCTTTCTTTCTGGGAAAATCGCAACTTTCCAGAGCCCAGGGTAACAGCCAGGAGAAGGCATTTATTCGAAAGGAGTCCTATTGAAAACCACTTGGCTACTCCGGAGTGAAAAAGAACAGAAAACACGGTCTCTCTCTCTCTCTGTATGTGTAGAACAACCACAACTACCACCACCCCCCCCTTACGCATGTGGGATAATTCGCGGCACGGAGGTGGGAGAAGTCGGAGTTAACCCTTCCCATCCCGACTTACATCTCTTTCTGTCTGCCCAGGGAGAACTGACATTTGTAGAGAAGCTCCTGAGAACGGTGAAA